CCGCACAAACTGCGAGTAGTTCTAGTACGTGTAAATCCATCTCGGCTTTTCTGCCATTAAACTGGACCCAAACCGTGCACTTACCGCAGAACTTAATTGGGCTGTTGTTATAAGCTGTTGCCTCAATCGTAGCTTCTGTGAGCGGAGGTTTACCTATCCTTCTCCACGAAGCCACATCTAATATTGATACCGAGGCTCCGGTATCCAATTCGCACGCGACGTCTGTACCATGAATTTTATCTTCAACATGGTGGCTGGTTCTACTCTCACTCTCAGGCACGACTTCCGGTCTGCCGATCGACGCGTCTCTGCGGATCGTCCGACCTGCCACTCCGAGACCCCTTCGGATCTCCTGGCCTGATGCTTTGACTTGACCAGCTCTTCTCTACGACCTTGACGCTCCCTATGAGTCAATCTATCTATATTGTTCTCACTACTGTCACATTCGTCAAGATCGGAGGTGCTGGGCTCCGCACACCAGTTAACCCGGCGGGAGACTTTTCTCACGCCCGACGCTTTCGATCTACAAGCTTTGGCCATGTGTCCAGGTCGAGAACAGTTAGAACAAAATGCTGTTTGCCTCCTGAAACACTGATAGAAGGCATGGACCTCCACAACATGTGCATTGTGCTATTGCGGTCGAGCGGTTGTTTACAACTCTATCATTCTGCGGCTGCCGTTTAACCCGGCTTTCATTTTGCCTTGACCGAGCTTGCGAGAGCGGTAAGTCTGGTTTCGGCTTCGCTAATAACTTCCCCCTTTTTGCGCGAACCACGGAGATACCTACTTCTTGAACACCCTCTTTCAGGTGGGGGCATTTTTCCTACCGTCTCAAACGCTTCGGCCGCTTCTAAGGGAGCTTTAGAAGAGAGACGTTAGATTCTCTCTCTAACAATCGCTTCCTAGTTTCCACCGAAGCTAACCCTCCTATGAATACCAATGTGACCATGGCATCGCGGTGATCCTTTATTTTTTCGAACTCACATGCTGCTGCAGCTTTCTGCAGCTCAGCGTAGTAGTCCTGCAAGGTTTGTCCAGGGCGCTGTGATCGCGACATCAAACCATAGCGTTCGGCCAATATCAGCTTCTTCGGCTGGAAATGGCCGGCCATAGTGTCGCTTAACTCCTTTAATGTCACTTGTTCTGGTTCTTTCCTTGTAGTAATGACTCCAGCAGTTCGTAGTTGCTACCACCAATTTCCTGCAAAAAGATTAATCTCTGTTCCATTTCATCAGTAGCCTTCCCCAGTACCACCAAGTGCGCCACGGTGTACCTGGCACATATGCACCAGGGGCGCGTCGCCCGTAGACCTCCATCAAGGTCCCGGGTTCCGCCACCGCGGACGCTTTAATAGAAACGGAACTGCCCTGTGACGTTGTCATCTTGACCGGTTGTCCTCTTCGTTATCTTCAGATCCTTTTTCTCCTTCTTGAATGCTGCCTCCGGTGGTCGATTCGTGTACAGCTTCGTCCTGATCGCCACACGATGAGCTGTGACGAACATGTAGGGGGAATTATTTTCTTATTGCCTATACACATTTATATATGCTGGTTGTTTATATTCTTCTATCTCGTCTATCTTCTGCCTCCTTTGCCATCATCTTCATTTCCTTCGTCCTCCTTCCTCTTTTCGGCCTTCCCTTTGCTTACCCTGCTACACTAGTTCCCCTACAGGCCGCACCTGTCAGTAATGCTCGCAGCTTTACAGCAGGCGGGCGTGGCTAGCCAATAAGAGGGGAGAGGCTTCTCGCCTAGTGGTCCGAGCATGGCAGTATATCCTGCTGTCAGGAGTTCGCAGCAGTTACAGGAAGAGAGAGAGAGCCGACGGCTAGCGTGGCAGGAGCTTTCATCAGTACGCTCACTCTCCTCCCCAAATCAGATCGGCCAATCAGGGAGCAGAGGCGGACCCGCAGCATATGCTGCCATGTTCCTGCATTCAAAAAAGTGGGCGTTCCCTACGAGAGTAGAGCTGTCGCGTTATCTGAGAAGAGTACTACCTGAATGTGAAGCGCTACCTCTCAGTAGCGGCACTCGCGA